ATAGATAGATAGATAGATAGATAGATAGATAGATAGATAGATAGATACATGATAGGTACATAGCCAACGCTAGCTAATTGGCTTCTTTCCTTACACAACAAATTACTGAACTAGCCTGTATTATTAATTTGACCTAGAGAGTATTTGTGGCACTGTTTTACAGAACTGGTGGCATTTCACATGCCTTCTTCCATCCTAAAGCCTAGTTGGCTCTGAAGTTGAAAGAGGAGATGAGCAGGGAGAGGGGGGGCAGCAGGGCCAAGTCACAGGTTCTCTGAAGAGCGGGCGCCCCAGACGGCTGCTACTCACTTTTATTGCAGTGTCTCCCGTGCCAGCCCTCTCGACATTGGCACTTGTTGGGCTCGTAGCAGGTTCCGTGAGCACCGCAGCCAGGCTCGCAGACAGCTAGGATCAGAGCAGAGCACAGCTATGCTTCCTCAGCCTTCCCATTTCCTTCTTTTAAACAGAGCTACAAGGCTACTTTTCCTTTTTAGTTCTTTAGAATGTGTTAACTTTGGCTTCACCCATTACTTTTTTTTTTTTCCCCCAAGTCACTTTCCAGCCAAAAGTCAGCCTCAAAGTTCAGGGAGGAAAAAAACAAAACCTTCTTAGAAAGGATCTTTATACTAAGCATCATGTTTCTCATACACAATGACTCTCGGTGAGATTTTGAAACTGCGGGATCCTTTCAGGAAAATCCCCAATAGACAAACAAACAAACAAACAAAAAACAAAAAACAAAACTGAAAGAATTTAGCTGTGTGCATAAGTATTTTATGTGCAGTGCCTTTGGTCTAAGTAAAAGACGCATATACAGGAGGGAAAAAGGTCAACTCTAAAGCCAGGCAACATGCAGCAGGCATGGCTGTCACATCCAGGGAGGACATCAGTTCAGCCATACCCGTACCCAAACTGCTACTCCGTGTGGTACTTACGCTTAGAACAGAGGTCTCCTTGGTAACCTTTGGGGCACTTACACTTGCTTTTACCGATGCATTTACCTCCATTTCGGCAGGGTTGGGGGCATTTGCCTGCAATACAGAGGAAAGTAGCTAAGGAAGGAAGCAGCTCTGGGCTTTATTCAACAGTAATTACATCTTTCAAAGGAGTAACGAGGCTTCGAGGGGAGAAATGCTTTGAAATGGCAGTTATTTCTCTTTATTTCAGGTCTACACTGGCTTTTACATTGTTTTTGTTTTGGAGATAAATTAATATATTGACATGATTGTATATATTATATAACATAAAATAGATTATATGTGACTCCTCTTCTTCAGTAATGAATACACTGACAAATGCATGAAAAAGAAAAATTTTAACTATTCTGGTTCATAAATGCTTGTAGCTTCATACATTGTTCTAAAATTTAGTATATGACTGACTTGCCACAAGATATTTTCCACAACTTCCAGGTTTTTTGTATCACTTCTTCTTTGGGAAGTCAGTCTGTCCATACCCATACCTGGTGATATCTTAGCTTAGCATCTTTCATATTTATTTCCCTCCACAATCAAGAATTTCCTATTTGAAGGGTTACTTTTCAGAAGTACGTGATAAGGGACTATTAACCGAAGGCTGAAGCCAGCTCCTGCCAAGTATGCAATGATGTGTGATGATGTCCCAAAAGACAGCCAGAAGCCATCACATTTCAGTGTTGACTCAGTTTGGGGTTTCACTCTTGCTCTTTTTTTTTTTTTTTTATCTTTATTGTTTTTTATGGCCAAAGAATGCTTCAGATGAAAGAGTTGATGAAAGAGCTGAACTTCATATGAAAACTTCATATAAAAATGCTTTAGTTTTTAGTTTGTACTTATCCCAAAGAACTTTGTTTATGAATTGGACAAAGCCACATTTTAGTCTCGAAGACAATATACACGTAATAGTGTTGGGAGGTGAAGGCCTCCTGAAACTGCAATAGAGGAGACTTTGGCTTTTTTCCTCCTAAAGATCTATGGCCCCCTTTCTTGAGACAGAGTCTCACGTGGCCTGGCTTGCCTCTGACTCACTGTACAGCTGAGGATGCCCTTGAACTCCTTTCTGATCCCTCACTCCACCTACCCAGTGCTGGGTCATAGGGTGGACTCACCATTATACACAGTTTGATTCAGTGCTGGTTTCAGACACAGGGCTTTGCACATGTTAGACAAGCACCCTTGTCCCACCGAAGCAGCAGTCCTAGCCCCCCAAACCACCTGCCTTATTGACCTCTGAAGTCCAGAAGAACCCCCCTTTCTAAAGAATACCATTTACAGCTTAATGATGGCCTCTGCTCTTACTTAAAAGAAAAGGCTCTAATTCCAAATTCCCAAAGCAGCGTCTGACCCCGGCCAGTCACAAAGCTGGATCACACGGAATTCTCTCCAGTGCTGTGGGCTTCTTTGAGCCAACTCTACGTGAGATGGTCACCACCCAGCAAGAAAGACACAGCTCCCTTCCACGTAAACAAGTTGGCGGGATGAGTGCTCCGTGGCGGGTGTGTGGAGCGTGGGGCGAACCTATGATCAGGAACAATGCAGAATGACTGGTAGAGTCTTCTTGATTCTATTGATCAGTTTGTGTTCTTGGTAGGAGGGGCGTGAAGAACCTTCTCAGCTGAGAGATAAGGACAGGAAGCTCTCTCCTGGTTCTTAATCATCAGCAACTTGATTTCAGGGAACTGTTAGGCTATGGATCTCATGGATCTGATTGTTTTAGTATTCAGAACACCCAAAGCGTCTGAATGCTGACTTCTTTTGCCTGAGAATACTTTGCAACCGTGTTGCATTGATTGGAAGTAGGTGTATGAAAGCCTGAGGAGTCAACATATTTGTGTAGATTTCAATAAGGTTAAAAGTGTTGGCAGTGTAGCCCACAGAGGAATCCTTGTGAGAACAATGCCATAAGGCACCCACGGTGAAGGCCTAAGGTCCCCCACCTGTGAGACTGCGGGATAACTTCAGGTTGTGACTCTGTTTCACAGACAAAAAGATGAAAGAGCTACAGGGTGTTCAGGGGCCAACAACCATCATGTGTGGGCCTTAGAAAGATGAGTTGGGCTTTTCTTTTTTTTGAAAGATTAGTAGTTTTTAATAATTTTCTTCAACAGTCTAAGTTACTTTCTATGGAGAATTTTTATGACAAGGTCCCGCTAAGTTATTGTAAAACTTATTTATAAATATTTATAAACTTATTTATAAATATATAATTTATAATTTTAAATCATAAACAATTAAAAGTAAACAACTATAGTTTGTCATCTTCAATTATTATAAACAATTAAAATATAACATAATGTGACACAAATAATCTGTGTGACCTTTTTAACTGAAGTTCTGTGAGAGAGTCTTAGGAAACCTATAAGCCTCACGCAGCAAGATATTATGCGCAGCTGGCGTCCTGCACAGCTCTGAGGATGGCCTGGCTAGCCCAATGACAGCAATCTTAGAAGAAGCCAGTCACAGTGGGGCTTGAGACGGCATCATCACTGGTAGAAGGGAGGGGAAATGGACATTAGACACATGTCTCCGTAAAGAGGAGCACTGAATGCGAGGAGACTGGAGAAACTGCAGCGCGGCCAGTAGGCTGGGAAGTAGAAACAGCATCAGAAACATTGTTCCTGTGTGGCCCAGCGACTCTCCTCCCAGGTGAACAGCCACAAGAAATGTGAGATGGCTCAGCGGGAAATGGACCTGCCACCAAGGCCTGAGTCCAGTCCCCAGGAGCCACCAGGCAGTAGAGAACTGACTCTCAAAAGTTGCCCTCTGACCTCCACACATATGCTATGGCATACATTTGCCATACATGTACACACCCCAAAAAGTATAAAGCTGTCAGCATGGTGGCCTGCTCACAAATACTCACAACTGCATTGTTCAAACAACCCACGAGAGGGAACAACTGAAACGTTCCTCGACTGTAGATGGATAAACAAATGACACCTGTCCACACTACTGGATGTGACTCAGTGATGAAAAGGAGCGATGTAGCTTCCTAGTTGTCAGGCCCTTCCATTTAGGAGACATTTCTAATGAACATACGTATGAACAGTTTTTGTTTGTTTGTTTTTAGGGTGGTGATAAATTTTTCTGAAATCAGATATAGGTGACAGCGTAACTGGTGGTTATGCAGGATGATGCACTTTAAAACGCTGAGTCTTATGGTATGTGTGAATTATGAATTCACTAAAAAATAAGAATAAACCATTCAACTCCGTATTTTGTCTTCACACTCTTACAGAAACTTCAACTCTGGACCTATTTCTGCTTTTTTTTTTTTTGGTAATGTTTCCTTTAGTTAAATTAGAAAGTTTTCTAAAGGGATTTGAATAAAACATGTCATTGGATCTATGATGAGTTTTCAAAAACTACATTTTTGGTCCAGTTAGAATTTAAGAAAGAAAGACAGACAGTGGAGAGAGGGAATTGGGGAGGGATAAAGAGAGGGTTGGAGAAGGATGAGAGGGAGGGAGAGGGGAAGGAGGGATGGAAGGAAGTGGGAGGGAGAAAGAGAGGGAAGGGAAGAGAGAGAAATCCTCTGCCAGAGGAAAGGTCCTCAGCACAAAGGCATGAAAGACAACCTTGGACGAAATGAGCCCACAAACAAAGACTCATAAACAAACGGAGGATGCAGTGTCTGGGGCTGAGCATGGGGAGAAAATTGAGAGGAGTTAGCACAAGACACCTTTATCAGGAAAGAGTAATTAATAAGAAGGGAAACCACATCCTGACAATTAATTACATGTTTTAAGGAGACTTCAGATCTATTTCATTTGAACTCTATAAAAATGGTTACTTCACTTACTACTCATTAAAGTACAAAAACCCACAAATAAATTAGAGGTTGGAAGTTAAAATAGGAACCTAGCATTATTCAATTCTGAGTCTACCTCAGCTTTGGGAACAATGGCTGCAAGCACAGCTTCAGAGAAGGTACAGCTGGGAAAGACTCCCCTGGACACACATGGACAAGTCGGGAGCAGCCCCCTCAGCTGGTGTACCCGGTAGCCAGATGGCTCGTGCTCCCGCCTGGACATGTGTCTCCATGCTTGTCTTCTGGGTCCCAGCGAGGCTTAGACTGAATTGGCTCATTTCTGAGGAGTGGCTTGCTGAGCTCTGGAGAGCTGGTAGGTGACAAGAGCTGGGACTTTGGTACAATCCCATCCTTCAGCTTTTTGTATCGAAACATCACGGATGAGCCAGGATAGGCAGAGTAGGTGTCAGGTTTAAGTTCACAGCTCAGCTATTTTTTTTTTTTTTAATTAAGAGCACTAATGTAACGCTGCTATGGAAGACACAGGCATTTCCAGGGCCCCCTAAAGCTTCTTTTGCCCCACCCCCAGCATGTCCAGTTTCCACTGTCATCAATTAGGCTTGAACTTGAAAACTGTGGACCGATAGGTAGACCCTTTTGTGTGTGTGTGTCTTCCTCCTTTTACATAATATATTCCTGAGAGTACTCAGGTTGCTGTGTTATTGTTGTTTTAATTTCTATGCCCTGTTTTTCTTTTCTCTGGGATGCAGGGGCATCTCTCCTTTCCTCTTAGATGGCCAGTAGGCTCAGTCTACTCTAGGGATATTAGTAACGATGTGGAGGACGAACAACGGTGGAGGGGGGGACCCTGTACTTGTGGGTAGGAAAACAAGTCTCAGGGAGAGCATTTGTCTCCAGCCTCTGGGGTAGGCCTTGCCTTCAGATAAGGGGATGGCAGATGAATCCAGAAGAAAGAAATCACTGGCCTGAGACCTCACATGAGGTCCCCACTCTGTCCCAGCCTCAGATTCACAAGCAGCAAAAGGAAGCATGAGACAAAGTTTTTCAGGTTCCTCACCCCCAAGCCAAAAAGAATGGCAAAGTCTCTACTCACTCATTTCACACTGCTCTCCTTCGAGTCCTGGAGGGCAAATACATTTTCCTGGGTAAAAGCAGGTGCCTCCATTAAAGCAGGTGGCTGAACAGTTCGCTGTAAGAATGAGTGACAGGATGCTTCATTAGACAGGCAGTCAAGCCTAGCAAAAATCCCACTTAGGGTGGGTGACTCTCCCATTTACTTATTAAACAACCCACTTTAGAGTTTAAAAAAAAAAAAAAAAACCAGCTTGGTCCATTATTTGAAAAAAACTGATTCAAGTTGTAATTACAAATTACAAAGACTCTATTTCAGAACATAGAGAATAGGATATCACATATTGAATTTATTCCTAAAAAAAATGGCATACTATGTAAAAAAAAAAAAAAGAAACAAATAAATAAAAAAGATCCTTTATATAAAATCTATGCTCTAAGAAGAAGACTCTACAAATCCAAGAAAAAAATTTTGAAAAATGTTTTGAAAGCATCAAGTTGGAAGATAAAGGGAGAAAAGTTATTTGGATTAGATAAAGGGAAGAGAAGTGTCAAAAGTGTCAGGGTCCAACAAGGAGAGAGCAACTCTCAGGAAGACGAATGGAGGTTTGTTTTAACGAATAGGATTTTAAAAGAGACTGTCACGGTACTTGGAGTAATTGCATCCAGAGAGACAGGATGTGGACCCTGTGAGGTCCCAGGGACGAGGATGAGCCATGAAGGGAGATGACGAGACACCCCTGGGGATGAACACCTGTGACTTGTCCCAGGCCCCTCCCTCTTGGTGTCAGTCTCTTGAAATTCACTGATCTTTGGCACTTAAAGCAGAGACTAGAGAAATGGAAATAGGAGAGGGGAAATGGTGTAGAGTACGGCAGCTTCACTCATTCAGTAACGAGGGTTAAAATGAAAGCTTGGGCCAGGTGGAGAAGCACAAGACTGTAGTCACAGAGTTCAGGGAATAGAGGCAGGGAGAGGTCAGTGTCATTTCTGGCTACATAGTCTGAGGCCAGCCAGCCTGGGTTTGTGGCTATGTGAAATCCTGCCTCAAAAAAAAAAAAAAAAAAAAAAAAAAAAGCTTGGATGTTTTTCTATTTCACTTATATGTCCTGAGTTTGTCCTTGTAAAACAGGTAAATAAAACAGTGTGAGAGTCAAGACATTTAAAATGTTATGTGTCCTGTGGAAGAGAAGTTCAATGAAAATGCCGTAAGAGAACATCAGGTTTCTCAATCGACAAACCACATTCAAAGTCGCTAACACCTCCCAGCTGGAAACAACTAGCGCTTTTAGCCTCTCCATGTGAAAGGAGCTGAGGCAGATCACTCTGGTACCGGACTTAAGAGTTCCGGGACTATAGTGCTCTGGGCCCTCTCTTTGCCACTTGGAGGTAGTGTTCTCAGGGGTGGGCGGTTGTTTCTATGAGTGGGCCCTGCCTCCCCACTGGTTGTTCATATGTCTCCCCAGAATAGGAGGGAAGGAGAGGACATCAGGATCAATGTTCACTTGGTCCACACCCATGGGCTCTGATGTTCACTGATATGTACAGGGCTGTGGGCCTGACAGCGCACCTGAAATAGAACTTGCTAAATCTGACTATATAATTTGATGGCCTACCTTCCTATCCCCTTTCTTCTTGAGCTAGCAACCTTTCTTCTTGTGTGTGCTAGTCTTGTTAGTCTTTAACTCATGATTCTTCTGCTTTAGCCACCAGAATGAGGACTTGCAGATATTGAAACCACGCCTGTCCCTGCAGTTTTATATTCAATTGACACAAGCCAGAGTCATCTGAAAGAGGGGAACCTCAGTTGACAAAACGTCTCCATGAGATCCAGCTGTAAGGCACGTTTTTAATTAGTGATTAACGAGGGAGGGCCCAGCCCATTGTAGGTGACGTCATCCCTGGGTTCTCTAGGAAAGCAGACTAAACAAGCCGTGATGAGCAAGCCGGTAAGCAGCACCCATCCACGGCCTGTGCAGCAGCTGCTGCCTACAGCTCCCTTCCATCTCCTGACCACCTCCAATGATAAACAATAATGTAGAAGTATAAGCCAAAAAAAAAAAAAATTTTTTTTTTCCTCCCCAACTTGCTTTTGGTCACTGTGTTTCATCACAGCAATAGTAACCCTAATTAGGACAACACTCAAGTAACTTGTCCTTATTCTTATGGACTTTTCAACTACTTCTGTCACCCTGGCCGAGATTTTCAACATTTCTGCCGTGGTTCAGCTTTGGTTTCATGAGCTGCAAACTCGCTCAGCAGAGCACTATGTGGAGAAGAGGAGGATCACCCCAGGCGGGATTGAGTAGAATGTGGCTAGGTCACAGGGACCATCAACCTCAGTAGTGGTCCCCTCTTTACTGCCTTTCCATGTAATCTCTCTTACAGATACTCCCACCATGAAGCCGGCTTCCATGTTGGGATGGAGCCTGAGGGCCTCACCAGAGCCGAACAGATGGTGGCATGCTACTGAAACTCTAGAACTGTGAGCTTATTTGGCCTCGTTTCTTTGTAAAACCTCCAGCCTCCAGTGTTTTGTTATCCCAACAGAAAGTTTTACCAGGAGCCAGAGATGCCGATTTTCTCTGTGGCTGAGGGTAGCTGTGGCTCTCTGGCCAGTGCTTAACTAGATACTTCCTAAAGTTTGTGGCAGATGTCCCCAAGGCCAATGGATGTGATTCTTCAATGTTTGTTTCAAAATATAGTGCCAAAGTCTAGCTCCATGCCAATTAAACCACTTTCAGCCATTTCTTACTCCTTTGTGGATAACAAAAGAATCTTCTGTTGAGCCAGCAAAAATTAATAAGTTTTATGTTCCCAGGTCTCCAGTGAGACCAAACGGAGTTTCAACAGATTTTTCCAAATGAGTTTTTTTAAATTAATAGAGTATAACATGTAGAAAAAAATCTTTATCTGAAAGACAAAATATTATGAAATGTAAGATGTACTGGAATACAAATATATAGTTTTGCCTTCATGGCTCTGAAGTATTTATGACACTGTAACATATGTGTGAATATTTTATACATATGTGTGTGTGTAATATATATGTATTGCAATAGCCAATGTGGTGGTCATGCCTGCAGTCCCAGCTACTTGGGAGACAGGAGAGTTGGTTGAGTCCAGGAGTTCTATGTGGTATCAGGCTATCTATGCCTGTCAGCTATCTGTACTAAGTTCCATATCAATATGGTGACCTTCTGGTAGCAGGGAGTCACAAGGTTGCATGAGGATGGATGACTCAACCCAAGTTGGATAAAAGATCTCAGTAGATCTTTCATTGTATATGGCCCAGTAATAATGGCCACAGCTGAATAGACAAGTGTCACTAATCATTTCATTCATTCTGGGTGTGTATGAGCTCACTGCTCAAGTCTCTGAAGGTTTTCTTTTTCAATAGTTCTGTTACAGGCTGAGTTTTATTCCATTCCAAGAAATGCCTGGTTGTGAAACAGCAGAGATGTCAAAGGCTAAATTTGAATGAATGAAGACACGCTCTGTGTAGTCTTACTGACTTGCTGCCATTACGTCTTGGTCTTTAGGAGTATGTATTTAAAATATTTTTAACCTGATGCTGTGGTTTAACAATAAATAAAAATACAAATACTCTTCACTATTATCTCAGCTAGAGGGTAAAAATCAGGAGGCAAATAGCTTAGGTTCAGATTGAAAGAAGGAAAAACTCAAAACCCTTGTCTATTCAAGGCTCAGGTCACGTGGGAGGAGCTGGGCCCTGATTAGCTAGAGAGGCAGGCAGCCTGGTGCAGTGGAAGGAAGGAATTGAGGTCAAGCAACATGAACCTCAGTGCGCTTCTTTAGGAGTGAAATGTAGAACGCTTTCCACGTCTCAACAGCTGTGGTATGTAAGTACCTTGTGTATCCTAAGACAGCAAATAACCTCAACTCACTCTTCTAGATCTTACCAAGAACCCTTTGCCTTAACTTCCCCCTTTTTGAAAAACTGCACACACACACACACAAACACACACAAAACAAACAAACTGCAGATTTACTCTGTGCTGAATGACTGATCACAGGAGATACTTCTTTAAAAAGCATTTATTAGTCTATTTAAAAGAATATTTCGACAATGCAGCCACTCCTGATGAGATCTGATAGACTAAGATCAGAAGGAAGGAGAGGGGGACCTCCCCTATCAGTGGACTTGGGGAAGGAGCATTCGTGAAGAAGGGGAAGGGAAGGTGGGATTAGAAGGGGAGGAAGGAGGGGTTTATGGGGGAATACAAAGTGAATAAAGTGTAATTAATAAAAGTTTTAAAAAATTTAAAAAATTAAAAAAAAGAATATTTCATTAAAAAAATCAATATATAGTTTTGATTTTGGCAAATAGCTTTATGGATAGAAGGATCCCTTCAATAAATCCATGTACTTTACAGAGTATTTAAAAGTATTTTCCCACTGAAAACTTGTGGACTCCGTAAGTAGTTTTGTTCAGGGCCAAGTTTGAATCCACTCCTTGTGAGTGGAGTCTGACATGTCACCGCCATGCCTAGGAGGAGGCATCCAACCTCTTGTAAAATAGAGTATGGAAGGAGGCCCTCTACATGGTCGGCGACACCGAGACTTGAAATCACTGCTATTTTATCATACATCTAGGAAAGGAACTGGACCTGTGTGCCAGCAACCCTCACCGCAAATGTTAACTGCGCTGGGATTCTTGCTTTGCAGCTGACGGGAGGCTTCCCTTGTCCTTATATTTATTTTCCCCATCTTCCTACCCTTCTGAGGACCACAGATGGGTACTGTATAGGTCACTGGCCTGTATTCCTGCCTTGGAGCATTCTGGGAGCAAAATAAAGTTCTGCTGGGCTAAGCAACACCCAGTTGGGGCTCTAGTTAGTATGGCAACGTCACGTCACGTGACATACCGTGTTTTCAAAGCGATGACACTCCAAATGTTTATCTGGGGTCCTGAAGCTCAGTGATTAAGAACACTGGCTGTTCTTCTAGAGGACAGAGTTTGATTCCCACCACCCACACAGAGGCTTAAAACCATTTGTAATTCCGGCTCCATGGAATCCCATGTCTTCCTCTGGTCTCTATGAGTGTGTGTGAAAACACACAGACACACACACACAAGTAAGTAAATAATAAGCCTTTTAACAAATGACAACAACAACAATTGTCATTTGTCACACTACCTTTGTCACAGTTGACTCCGTAGAATCCAGGTGGGCAGATACAGAAGCCAGGCGTGACACACAGGCCGCCGTTCATGCAGCGAGGTATGCAGAGGGCTTACGGGGAGAGAGGACAAGGATTAAGGCCAAACGGGCTTCTGGAGCAGGACCATTTTGCCATGCCAACAGTTCCACAACCTAAGGCTTCGTGGATGAACCTGAAAGGTTTAGTCTCTAGATTTACAGTTTTGCTATGTTAAAAATTGTTTTGTGGCATTAATCCAGCTATTTTTTAACTTTTTGGCTTATTTCTTAGACAAGAATTTTGAGGGTTTTTTTTTTTTTTTTCCTACTTTGAACGCTCGGTTGAATCTTGCCCAGACTCAACTTGACTATGATATGTTTTTATTAACTGTGGATATTTTTTCTGCCCCGTTTCCTTGATCTTCAAAAACTAAGGTAAGTGAAAATAAGAAAATATTCTTAGAACCATGCATGGAGATAACCTAGAACCCCTGCACAGATGTAGCCCATGGCAGCTCCTTGTCCAAGTGGGTACCCTAGTAAGGGGAAAAGGGGATGTCTCTGACATGAACTCAGTGACTGGCTCTTTGATCACCTCCCCCTGAGTGGGGGAACAGCCTTACCAGTCCACAGAGGAAGATAATGCAGCCAGTCCTGATGAGACCTGATAAGCAAGGGTCAGAGGGCATGGGAGGAGGACCTCCCCTATCAGTGGACAGGGCAGGGGGGAGTGGGGCTGGGAGGAGACGAGGGAAGAGGCTGCAGCTGGGATACTAAGTGAATAAATTGAAATTAATAAAAAAAATAAATTTTAAAAAAGAATATTTTTATTTCTTAAAGGTAAAAAGCATTTTTTGCTTACTCTGGTCAAATAAGTTCTTGGTATTTAAAGATCGCGTGATTGATACTCACTTTCTCACTTATCTCTTTTCTTCTGATATTCTCAAAAACAGTACCACTAAAAGAAATGTACTACGAAATTTATGTTCAGCCCTTCTTTCAGTTTATTCTAAGGTATAACTTATACTGGGGCATGGATTTAATTGTGAACCGAGCTGTTTTTAGTTGGAAGAATTTCAAATCAGTTGTGATATTAGCTCCTTTGAGACTTTCAGAAAGGTCCAACAAAGTACACTGTAAATGTTAGGTTGGCTGGAGGCTTGACCACAGAGGGCCAAGGGCCGAGGGCCGAGCTCAAAGTTCTCTGGCCAAAGTTCTGACCATACTGCATTAACAGAAACCGACCCATAGAAGAACGACTCTCAAACAGGTCTTCTGTGGCTTTTTAAAGTTTCACCGATCCCTAAAATATCACTAAATAATAATAATAATTTCAAGAGATGTGTTGCAAACAGCAGCGAGCCAAGTGGGGTGGCTGTGGTGTCAACGGACGGTGGCTGGGAAGCAGGCAAAGCAGGACAGCACCTTCGCTTACCTTTCTCACAGTGAGGCCCGTAGAACCCATCGGGACACTCGCAGACTCGCCTTTCATTACAGAAGCCTCCATTTCGACAGCCTCCGGGACACTCGGCTGCAGCAGAGACACAGAAGGTATACAGCGTGACCTTGAGTTCAGGCCAGGCCAGGCCCAGACACTGGGGGTCGTTTACCGATTGAATACCGGCAATCTTTCGCCTTCCCTCCATACCCCTTGGCTTTCCTCCCTCAGTCTTCTTCCTGCAACCCTATTTCCAACAGTACGAGGTGCACATGAGGAGAATAAAGCAGTGTTTATTCTGCCCACCTCCTTAAGTATGGTAACTCTTTAAATTCGTGCCAGAGGAGTAGGGGGGGTTGTCTTTGATACTCGCCGCCAGAGAGCAGATGGCTTATTTTTATTATTTATTTCTGTGTATGTTTAGGACATCGACTGGCTCCAAAGCTTAGGCTTGATGCTGGAAGCAGGGAGGAGCTATGCCCTGGTGGTTAGGGGGCACCCAGGGTACAGCAGTGAAGTGCTGAGGTCCCTCCTGGCGTGGTCGTTACGTGATGGTGATTTTCTGCCTTCTGCGGCTGTGAACTGTGCCAGGCCTTTGGCAGGGGGTTGGGCAGCGTGGCTTTCAACAGGGGGAAATGTTGGTCGTGGGTGGGATACACCTGCGGATCCCTAAACGTTGTGTTAGAGAAGGGGGAAGAGGGGCCAGTGCTGTCACAGCACCCTGGAATCCCCAAGTTCCCTAAGTGATGTCAAAGCCTGAGGAAATCTTGGTACTTGTTAATGGACCCTGTGTTTACTATCCTTTCCCTACAAAGTATATATACAAAGGAAACGAAACAAAAAAAGCCCCGCGACTTCCTACCCCCAAAGCCTTCTCTTGCACGCTGCCAGTGCTCACCTTGTTGACATGTTTTGAAGAAGATTGCGTTCTGAGGGGTCCGAAGGATGATGCTGCCTGCAGCATTCATGACAATCACGTTCACTTCAAACGCTGCCACCCCGTCCTGTTTGCCGAGGCATGGGAACCCGACTTGCACAACTAAAACGAAAAGAGAGTCTGTGAAACTGGTTTAGCCAATTGATTTGGCTTTGTAGAAGTCACAGGAAGAGAGACCAAGGAATGCAAACGATTCACATTTCTGTGATTTTCGTGTGCCTCCACTGGAGTTGAGATGGTATTTTTACTATCTGGGCATTCTCTGTGGAACTTATGTACCATTCTGGGTGGAAAAAGAATGAATGTTGGAATGGGAGAAGAGAGGGAACCACAGGGGGGATACAAAGTGAATAAAGCGTAATTAATAAAGAATAATAATAATAAAAAAGAATGAATGACCCTTGGTAATTTGTGTTCCACTAAGGCAGAACTGGCCATATTCTGTTAATAAGCTTTGTGTGTGTGACAGGATTTCTATGTCAATAATCTTGGCTTACATATCTTTTTAAGATTTTGTTTTAATGTATGTGTATGTACATTTGTGTATATGGGCACATGTGTGCAGGCGTGTGGAGGCCAGAAGAAGTGATCCCTGAAAGCTGGAATAGTCAGTTGTGAGCCACCTGATAAAGAAACCAAACTTGAGTTCTTTGTAAGAGCAGTGACTGACTTCTCTTAACCACTGAGCCATCTTTCCAGGGCCAGTTTTCATACCTTAAAAAGGTTGGTTTGTTGTTGTTTTTGGTTTTTGTTTTTCTTTGATTGTTTGTTTTTAAGGTGGGCATGTTTTTTGTTTTTTGTTTGTTTGTTTTTAATCCCAGCACTTGGGAGGTAGAGGCAGGCAGATTTCTGTGAGTTCAAGGCCAACCTGGTCTACAGAGTGAGTTTCATGACAGCCTGGGTGAGCTACACAGAGAAACCCTGTCTCAAACCCCCCCCCTCAAAAAAAAAAAAAAACCAGAAAAGAATTTTGAGGGGGCCTGGAAATTAAAGATGCAAAAAAGGAAGCATAAATGTATTACTTAAAATGAGACATTTGTGGGTATGATTACCATCCCCAAAGAGCCAGAAATAGGCATAAAATATAATGTAATACAATTTCAATTAAGTAAGCCCTTGGAACAATAGCCCACTGGTCTATTTTTTTAATTCTTCTGATTCGAAGGTAAAAAACAAACTCTCTGAAAATATTCTGCAATTCATGCTGGACTCCAGTAGTGACTGAGTAAGCCAGGTTACTATTTTCTCAAGACACCTGTTAGCACAATGGAGTGCTTGGTGTGCTAAGCTAATGCTAGGATAGGCCACATCTTATGAGTTAGTGTCTTGACTTGGAGCCACTTATGCCTCTGTTGGGTACTTGTCCCGTCCAGGTGTTGACAACAAACCTACAAGGCAGGACGTGGCAACTCACGATGTTTCTGCAAAAAGAGGATGAGGAGGCCACCAGTTTTGTTACAATCGCAAATCACTAGGTGAGATAGGCTATTGGATGTTGGCTATTGGATGAAAAGCTGATTGTGGAAGTTCCCAGAATATACCGGATCACCGTAACACCCGCTGAGGAAGAATGATCCAGCTAACTGCTAGACTCCAGGTCTTCCTTCAATTAAAGAAGTAAAAATGCTGCCGGTGCTTGCGTGGAGGGCTTTAACAGTGGGTTCCACCGTTAAACAGGACAAACCTTTTTCCCTTTGGAGTGTGGCTACACATCCCTCTTGGGGTTAGGTGAAGAAAATAGCTGGAAGTTGCTCCTGCCAGCCTACAAGCTGGCCACACAACCTTCTCTATGTACTTGCAAAACGGAAGGTCTTTTGCAGGTTGTGCCATTGCCGAGAGACAGTAGAAATGGAATCAGGTCCTTTGGCAATGGTAAGCCTTTGGGTAGATGTCCACTTTTACCAAAGGCTAAATGCAACAAGGACAGATTTTATGAATTCCAATGCACTCTGTGCTGTGTAATCTACACCGGGCTGAATGAGAAAAACTGTGAAAACTAAAACAGATGAACTCACATGGCATTCGAGTACACATCGATACACAGTTAGTTTATGAGTGCACATAAACTAACTCTCACGGAGAAGTAAATGCAGTATCTCTCTGAATATGCTGTCCACACGAAGGTCATGTGACCCACTTCCCTTGTAGGAAGGTAGAAGATAAGAGGCAGCAGGAACTCAGTCTTGACGTCACAGGGTTATAAACTGTTCCCTGATTAGGGATTGGGAGATGGCCCAGTCAGTCAAGTAGTTGCCTTGGAAGTGTGAAGATTCGAGTTTCATTCTCAGAACCCATGTGAAAACACTGAGTGTGTACCAGTGGTGAAGGTACAAGAAATAACAGACTAGTGCTCAGTGCTGAGCAGGATGTCCCTTCACTCGGGGATCTCCTGAGAAGGGGGGCCAGAAAGGTTGTAAGATCCAGAAGTGGGGGACAACCGGAAGAAGCTGTTTTCTGGACACAGCAGGGAAATGGGAACTTACACTGTGACAGCATGCTCGGAAGACCCATACAAGCTCAAGCCAGACAAAACCGCACTGTGGGGGAGGGGAGGAGGGCACAGACTTCCACCCCCCGGCTCAGAGTCATTGGCAACTGATCACTTCTGGCAGAGGGAGAGTCAGTTTTCTCTAAAGGTGTGCCCCTCGGAATGGCTGACGGCGCTCCAGGACTGGCTCTATACCCACACAGTAGCCTTGATGGGCTTTTATGAGAGAGAGTAGGGGGGGAACAGGAAGCTGGGTGGGTGGCCAGGGGGGAGTGCGCTTGGGAAGAGCTGGGGGAGTGTAAATACGACGAAAACAGGTTATATGAAATTCTCGAAGAACAAATAAAAATAGTTTAAAGTGCTGGGTATGGGTATCCCTTGCAATTCCAGCATGGCGGAAAGCAGGGCCAGGAGGAGCCCTGAAAGTTTACTGGCTGGCTAACACGGCCTAATCTGGTGAACAGGGCAAGGCCTCTCCCAGATTAGATGGATAGTGTTCCAGGGAATGACAGCTGAGGTCGTTCTCTGGCCTTCACACTCACACACACATATGTGCCCTCGTGCCCTCCCACAACCCCAGGAACATGCATGCAAACATACACACGTATGTAGAATATTTCAGTGTAAGTACTAGTGCTTCAGGCTGCTGTGGTGTTCAGTCTCTCAGCAAATACTGACCATTTATTCTGGTCCAGTAATCAAGATGGTGTCCCTCCAACATTAGCACCTACTTAAAGACTTCTGCATACTGGATTCCCAAGACAGTCTACTGCCCTGTGGGCTTCCTGCAGTGACAGAATGTTCACAGTGGCAAAGCCCTGGCTTTATGGAAGAAATTATATATATATATATTTTTTTCACATAACTCAGTAACTTCACTGAACTACGCCACAGTTTGCATTTCCTGTTTTTGTTCTCTTCAAATGCCAGAAGGCAGGCACTTCATAACTGTTAAAGATCAAGAGATGTCCAAGCACAAAGGCTCCTGTGGGATAAAAGAACAGCTTAGCAGATTGGGGTCTAAAACAGCCCAGTGCAATAATGAATGCTACATAGGTGCTTAGGAGCAAAGACACACTGATTTGGTTACTTTTTAATAATTCAAGGTACCTTCGATTCTCCCACTGTGGTGACCAAGCTAATGAGGCTAATGAACCGCTGCCCCGCAATGATCTGAAATCCCCATAAGCTTCTGGCACCTGTGGTTTTGCAAACAAACCCTACATCTGCTTTTGAAAGAAAAGAAAGAAAGAAAGAAAGAGAGAGAGAGAGAGAAAGAAAGAAAGGAAGAAAGAAAGAAACAAAGAAAGAAACAAAGAAAGAAAGAAAGAAAGAAAGAAACACACGTGCACACACCAACATGAAAGGAGCTAAGCAGGCAAAGTGAAGTGTGGGTATATACACATGTGGGTTTCACCTCATCTCAAAATAAAACCTGTTTCTCTCTTAAATCTCTCTTTGCCCCAAGGTGGCGTCCATTTCCCCCTCTAAATTGTGTTTTTACGTGTGTGCGCATGCACGCGTGTAGAAGTGTGTGCACGCATGCGTGTGAAGCCAGGAGTTGATATCAGATGTTTTTGTTGGTTGCCACCTCCTCGTATTTTTTGAGACAAGGTCTCTCACTGCACAGAGTGTTTGCCATTGGCTAGACTGGCTGTCCAGCAAGCCCCAGAGCCCCTCCTGCTGTTCCTGTCTCTCCAGTGCTGGGACTGCAGCTGGGCAATGCCAAACCCAGCTTCTTGCCAGAGATCTGTGTGGCGGGCACCTTCCCAATGGGGACCACGACCCACCTTCTAAATTTTATCTTTCTGGATTTCATAGTATTAGGAAGTGACATTGAAGTTAAATATTCCCTGCTAAGGTATTCTCTCAACAACAATCAGTACTTGCTGTTGAATGTTGTTGAGAAAAAAAAAAAATATATATATATATATACACGTATATATATTTTATATATATACATACATATATATACATATATATATACATATATATATATATATATATATACATATATATATATTCTCCAGTATAGCTCCAAAAGTACAATTCTGGGAAGAATCCTTTGACTAAACACACACACAAATGGTTAAAGTTAGGGGGATGTCAGCTGCAAGCATCAAGTTAGAAATGTAATGATTTCAGTTTTATTGGAGGCTCAGCCAAAGTAGCCATGTAATGAACTGAGCTGATGAATTTTAATGAGTTGCAATAAGCTTCCATATGAGTTTTGCTAATCAGAAAAAGGCAAAGGAAAAGAATTTTAAATGTAGAGTGGATACTGAGAAACATGCTATGTGCTCATTCTTCACCTCTTTAAAAAAAAAAACACAAAAACAAGAGGGGGAAATGATCAAGAAAAAAAAATATTCCAAATTATCTTTGGTTACAAAGAAGCATCAAGTCAAAGGCAGACACTTAGGTGGTGACCATATTCCAAGAACTTTCAGAATTGAGTGTTTTGCTGTCTCGGTGAGGTAGTAAAAAAGTGAGGGAGCGAAGAAACAAAAGCTAGCATCCATAAGATAGAATATTATACTAGTCCCATGCCTTACAAGGGTAAGAACAACTTTCAGAAAGACCTGTAAATTGTGTGTTTGCCATGAAGTGTCAAATGTGAGAACATAGATCCTTGAAACAGGACTAGAAGAAACACAGGGACACTTTGTTTCCTAAGAGCCAGAGACTCCAGGCTCTGGTCTTGACTTTGCTACGTTCCTAACATACATTCCCCTTTGTACAGGTTGGTTACATTGTGTAAGCCTTCGTTTTTTAGGCTTATGAAATGGAGCTACAGTTCTGGTCTTACCATGATCAAGTCAGGTAACACTCGATTGGGTATCACACAAGATGGAAAAACTGGGACCAAATCACATATATACACAATTTTCTCTACCAAGCAGGAAGGTTAGAGCTGAGAGCCTGAGTCGACGTCCCTCTGTCCCTTAAAGGGGTTATGACACTACACCTACTTTCAGGAATGTTTTCTTGGTTATATCATTTGCTCCCAACCACTTTGAATCTCTGTCACGTTTGTGTGCTCTGTGCTAATGCATATTCACTAATGGAATATTTCCATCTCATCAGGCATGTTTGTTTTCTTTTTTCTTTCTTCTTTTATTAAAAAAAAATAACCTTGAATCATTAATGAACTGGGTGTGGTCTGGGCTTTATTGGGTAATTAGAAAACTATAAACCTACCATTTCTTTATTCCCATCCTAATCCTTTGCCTGAAGGACGATAACCGAACTGCCCTCAATTCAATATCTCTCCTCAAGAGAATATTCCATAATCCCTCTGGATGCAAATGTACATTATATATCCTTATCTCCATTAAGTCTTATAAGCAAACCTTTCTCTGAAGCAAAGACCACCCACCTGATGCCTTGTGAGGTACTGTTCCCAGCAGAGGGACATTGACAGTTGGATCTGCCATGATGCCTTTATCCAGGGAGCGCAGAGACAGGAACTCGTAGAAGTATTCTGCCTGCAACAAAAGGCATGACCAGTCAGCACCAGGGAAACCACAGCGATTGAGAAGGCATTTCTTGATGACAGGAGTGTGATCATTTTCCCTCCAGGAACGCTGAAGCCCCCAACATCTAATGTAGCAAGTAGGCACTGATTTAGACCAATGGAATTGGACCAAGCTTGGAGGGAAGAGAGCCCTATAATGCTCAAAGCATTTATTTAGAGCTTGCTCAAAAGGTCATTTAACCTCAACAACATTACTAGTTGCTATCTGTTGAAAAGAATCGGAGAAAAACAGAAAGACAAGACATATCAAAACAACCAGTGACCAGCCCTTAGAAAATTCATCGCAGCAACTTGGGTCATTAATTTCTTTTTTTAATTTGAGAGGAATTTGTTGGTTAGGATTTGTAGAGCTGTAATAAATCATGATTAATAAAACAGAACCCTAATGGAAAAGAGGACACATAGAGCTCCAAATTTAAGGGTCCTGCCATTAAGTTTGAAAGGTTTATATTTAAGCTCTCAATTTAATAGAAAAGCCTAAAAGCTTAAAACAAAACAAAAACACTGCAATGACAACAAGCCATAAAACTTTACAATGTAAACATTTTCATTTTCCCACTATGTCAGTAGTTAGGGGAAAGTCTCGCCACTCTGGTGACCATCGACATGAAAACAGTGGTGGATAGTCTAAACATGGAGCCCTGATGTTTGGGGGGCTGGGTGGGAGGTGGCTAAGAGCACCTGCTGCTCTTCCAGGGAACCAGAGTTCGGTTCTCAGGACCTGTGAGCGACATGGCTCCAGCTGTAACTCCAGCTCCAGGGCAGCTGATGCCCTCTTCTGGCTTCTGAGGATGGACACACATACATGCACACACACATGCACACGCGCACGCGCACACACAGCCACCCCACACACCACAGACACACACGCACACACATACAAGTACTGCACACACACCACACACCGCACACCACACATGCACACATACACACACACACGATACACACATGCACACAATCTTTTTTAAAAAAATGGTTTGAGCTAGGAACAGTCTGTTCTTGCTTAGGAACAATGGGCTACTAATAAAAAGCTCACAGGCTAGCCTGTGAAATCTGCAAGTTGAGCGGTTCTACCATTTTCCGTAGAGATAGAGTCTTGGATGGGTTAATTTTAAGATGAGTTACAGTGTGGACTGAATGAGATTCCTCTTTTGAGAAAATGGGATTTTCCTTACAATCGGCATAATTTTTATTTTATAACATGGAAAATATGAAGAAGACATAGAAGCCATTCAAGCCACTTTCTGCTTTAAATCACTGTCAACTAACTACTAGTCATGAAAGACTTCATGGGAGGGTAATAATGGAATCGCAGCCACCATAGAGATTCTGTCTCCATGTTCAGCAAGCAAAGAAATGCTCTGCATGTTCATGGAGCCAAAATAGCACGTTCATTAGCCAAATCCCCTTCTTCAGCTTGTGGTGGTGATTCGGAAGGTTCCAGAGGAGCGCTGTGTTTGTTCCCTTCGATAGTGTCAGAGTTAGGAGAATTCTCTTACTAGGTTCATCTGCTGAAGGGTCAGTTCACAGGATGGACGGTTGCTACTCTATGGAAGGGAAGGCAGAGATCTGAAGGAAGCCCATGAAAGCAATGCTGTCGGGGAAGGTAATTCGATTTACAATGAACTCCTTTGAGAGGAAGAATGAATAGTATTTCTGTCTCAGCAGAAAAATCAATGAAAAAGACACCAGTTCACCGACCCAGGTGTTTCCAATGACTTCTATCAACGGCATTTCCCGCTCTGTACGTTACTCCACAGTATTTGTTACTAAAACATTTATTTTAAAACACAGTTAAACTGGCACATGAAAGGACTTGGTGCTGAATGCCATTATAATCAACTCTATTCTGGTCATCTGTGCCACCAAGGATAATAAAACAGCAAGCAACAATAGCACAGCAAATCCTAGTGTAATATACATCGTATGTCCAAAGTCATTAGGAGCACGCTATTAATGGGCCTACAGTGGCAGCAAAGAGCTGTGTGGACTTCAAATGCTACACCCTAAGTTACCCTTTGCGACCCCAGAGACATGTCTTTGAGCTTTATCACTCTGGAAATTAAACTGCCTTCCTATAGGTGATATGTTTAAAAGTTACATTTGTAAAACTTCAAGATCATTTTGGTAAGAAACCAGAGTTGGTTTTTTAATTTTAAATGGTTTTATTAATAAGAAAACTGGAACACTGAGACATGATTGAACTAGAACAGATAGCTATTTTCTTTTGAAATTTTTCTACTTTCTCCATCTTTTAAGTATGTGGTTCATTTTATAGTGAAATTTAATGCACTGACTTAAAAAACGAGCATAGAACCCACTGTCAGGCCACACGGCTGATGCCAGTTACTCCTCTGTGCCTTGGAGAAGACCTGTGCTCACACTGCGCTTCTCAGCTCAAAATGTGAAAGAGGAACAACCAGCATTCAAGTTACTTCTGAGTGTTTCTTCCAAAAAAGTTTTCAATAAGGCTGAAAGACTGTGGATCTGGGAGGAATTCAGGCAGAACCCGGAAATGCAACTTTAAGGAGCCTTCAGTTCTCCATAGCACCACCAAATGCAGGCCAGGAAGGCAAGGGTCTCTTGGGTCCATTATCTTCTACCTAGCCTTAGCGTGACTGCGGGGCAGGAGAAGACTAAGGTGAATGGACTTCTCAGATGGCCAATCCTCTGACCTTGGCAGCAAAGTCATCACTATAGACTTCAGGGTATTGCTTTAGTGTCTTTGGTAGCTGGTACACACTACACTTTTCCTACTGCAGTTCTGATCCTGGATCTAAGAAGTCTCCAAATGCAAATTGGTCAAACAGTTTCTTGGGTTTTATCAGCAGAAGGGAGTTGTTGGAGCAAAGCTTGTCTGTTTGTCTTTCTTACTGAGGACAATAATGGTACCTATATTTCCTTCATTCTTGGGTTTTGTTTGTTTGTTTATAAAGTTTTTATTATGCTTTAAATCTCTTTTTATTTATTTAGTTTGTGGTGGCACAGGGTACATGTGGAAGTCAAGGGACAGCTATTGGGAGTTGGTTCTGTCCTTTGTCGTGTGGGTACTGGGGATTGAACTCAAGTTGGCAAGCTCTGCTGAGCTGTCTCGCCTGTCCCATATTTATTTTATATATGTGTGTATCCTTTCTTGCTTACTTTTTTAAAGTTGTATCTTAAAAATACTAACTGGAAAGTCGCTTAGAAATTAATCAACATTTTGTCCAGTCTTGATACTTCTTTGAAAATTTGACTTTGATACTTATTTGAAAATTTTATTTACCATTGTAAAGAGGTCTATCCTTCACTACCATGTAAATAATATATAAATACTATAAATACATATAATATTATATATAAATCTATTCTTCACCTAACTTAAGGTCTTAAAAAGTCATAAAATGGTTACCCAAATGAATGTTAGATTTATGTCATAGTCTAACTTTTAGACAGAACTTTCCATTTTTGTCTTATTTATAATATAATAAATATTCCTAGACCCCAATCTCTCCATTGGAAAAACTTATTTGGAGGCAAATCAAACCCAAATTCTATGCCAAAAAGAACAGAGAACTAGCTTTAAAGTTTGGGAACAAGTTTCACAAATTACAGATTTATTACTTAGATAAAAGGAACTCAGAGCATGAACTGTAATAGCAAAGTTATATTGGAAACCACTATTAGGAAAAAGTACATTTTGTTTTATTAAATGACATTAGTGGAAATTCAGGTAGAGGTAAGGAGGGCAGTTATTTGGGAAAAACATGAAAAGAGTGCTTTGTATTCAAACAAAGAATGGGTCTATTCAGGGGAATAATTAATTCACTTTTAAATTAAGTTGCTGAAAAACTTTTTTTTTGCTGGACTGTTTTGCCACACAGTAATTTTTTTTCATGGAGAAATATAAAAGGCACCCAAATATTATCAAGGGAGGAGTGCTGGAAGCCATTCATCCTGCTTCCAATTGATTTGGCTGAAATTGGAGTCATTCCTTCCAAATAGATGAAGATGTTATTTTAACAGCAAAGTGGACCGACCCAGTAGGCCTTTGGTCTGGAGCTCTTTGGAGCATAAACAGAGAGAAAGACGAGAAACCAACATTAACTCTGGAAGGAATGTAGTGTTTCTTTTCTACCTTTGAACCTCTGGGCTTCCAATGCATGCTTAACCTAGTAAGCAGAGTAATCGCAGAGACCTCTTTCATAAAGCCACGGCCCCCAAATCTCTATTAAGTTCTATCGTGATACTGACCCAAGTGGTTGTAGAAGAAAATAAAACTCTAAAAATATCATCTTTGTTCTAAAGAAAACTCCAAACTGTCACAAATACATAGCATGTGACATTTTAAATAATCCTTGCTGAATGTCTACTACACCCCAATCACTAGTCTCATAGCTCTCTACCATGGCTATAATAGTCTACAGTGATTATAGCATTCAAGAGAGTTCAAATCGGCCGAGTACTAGGTATGGGAAGTATAAAGGGACATAAAATATCCCCTGTACTGTATGAGAGGGGCAGGAAGACGTATCTACTAAAATAAACAAGAAAGGAAACAGTACAAGGTTAAAACCCCAACAAAATGAATAAGTATGCCCAATGCTTAAAATAATCCGCCGCCTGCTTGTCTAGACCGAAGACGGCCAGACCTGCATTCTTCTGAATTCCTTTTGTTACCTCCCTGCAAGACTTCATCCTCCAAACTCTGAACTCAGTGAACCTTGGATTTTTGTCACCGTTGAGTCCTCTCCCACTTCCTGTTTTCTCTGCAAGTCCTAATCAGTTCTTCTCTATGCTCCGATCACAGCAAATCCTAACAAAAGGCCAGCACTGTGGTGTATCCATCCTCCTGTGGCCAGTGACTTCACCTCTGCTGACCTGCAAGGACTTAGTTCTTCCTTTTCTCTTTTGTCTTGCACCAATCGCATCCTCTTATAGACACCTTTTAGGTGATGATGATTGTTCTGG